CAGATGCCCACTTTTTGATTGGGCCTTTGAGTTTTGGAGGCATGAGAGACAGTTAGCTAGAATTTTTTCCCAATTTGTGGGTTTTCTTTTTATTCTGCTGGTGATTTCTTTAGATGTGTAAAAACTTCAATAAGATGAGATCTTGGTTGTTGATTCTTTGCAGTACTTCCCATGCAGTTTGGTTTTTGTTCATGAACTCTCTGCCTACCCTTATGTCTTCAAGATTTTTACCTATTTTCTTTTCCAGTAGATTTAGTGTTTCTGTTTTAATGTTTAGATCTTTGATCCATTTTTACTTTAGTCATGGTGATAGACATGGGTCTAGTTTTAGTCTTTGGTATGTGGAAAGCCAGTTTTTCCAGCACCACTTATTAAAGAAGCTATCTTTCTTCCAGTGAATATATTTGGCCTCTTTGTCAAACAGAAGGTGGCTGAGTGTGTTTGTAGTTGTGTCTGCGTCTTCTAGTCTGTTCCATTGTTCTTCAGGTCTGTTGTTTTTTGTTTTGTTTTTTTTTTGCCAGTACCATGCTGATTTTATCATAATAGCTTTGTAGTATAATTTCACAATGGGGATTGAGATGCCTCCTGCTTTGCCTTTGTTGCCCAGGATAGCTTTTGCTATTCTCGGTCTCTTCTGGTTCCAGGTGAATTTTAGGAATGTTTTCTCTAGATCTGTGACATATACTGTTATTTTCATTGAGATTGCATTGAATCTGTATAACAATTTTGGGAGTATGGCCATTTTCACAATGTTGGTCCTTCCTATCCATGAGCAAGGAATAGCTTTCCATTTTCTGAGCTCCTCTTTGTTCTCTTTTTTGAGTACTGTAATTTTCACTGTATAGATTTTTTACTTCCATTGTTAGATGGATTCTTAAGTATTTCATTTTTTAGATGCTATTATGAAAAGTGTGGTTTCCCTTATTTCTCTCTCAGTCTGTTTGTTTTTTGTGTACAGGAATGCTACTGATTTTTGAATGTTGACTTTGTATCCAGGTGCACTACTGAATTTGGTTGTTAATTCTATAAGCCTTTTGTTGGAGTTTATGGCATCTTCTATGTAGAGTATCATGTGATCTGCAAATAGTGATAGTTTCACTTCTTCCTTTGGTATCCTTATTCCTTTTATTTCTCTCTCTTGTCTACTTGCTATAGCGAATATTTCCAGAAATATATTGAATAGGAGTGATGAGTGGGCATACTTGTCTTCTTCCTGATTTTAAAGTGAAAGCTTTCAATTTGTGTCCATTTAGTATGATGCTGGCTGTTAGTTTGTCATAATGGCTTTTATGGAGTGAGGTAAAGACTATCATTCCTATTTTCTACAAGGTTTTTATCATGGGTGAGTGTTGGGCTTTATCAAAAGCTTTTTCTGCATCTATTGAGATGATCATGTGATTCTTGCCTTTGGCTCTGTTGATTTGGTGTATTACATTAATTGATATGCACATATTGAAACATCCCTGCTTTCCTGGGATGAATCTCACTTGGTCATGGTGTATCATCTTCTTAATGATTTGTTACATTCTGTTTGCTAGTACTTTATTGAGAACTTTTGCATCTATATTCATTAGGAGGATTGGCCTGTAATTCTCTTCTTTGGTTGAGTCTTTCTCTGGTTTTGGTATCAGGGTAATACTTGCCTCCAGGAATGAGTTTGGGGGAATTCCTTCCCTTTCAATTTGATTAAAGAGTTTGAGAGGAACTGGCCTTAAATCTTCTCTAAATTTCTTGTAGAATTCAGCTGTCAATCCTTCAGGACCTGGCTTTTCTCCATTGGTAAGTTTTTTTTTTTTTATTATTAAATTTTCAGTTTTGCTGCTGATATTGAGTTAAGCAGGATTTTTATGTCTTCTTGATTCAGCTTTGGTAATTCGTATGTA